AAAAAAAGATAGGCGCTTTTAAATTTTTGCTCTAGACTAAGTTGCAAGGGGAATCAAAATGAAGCCAACAGTGTTTTCAAGGGGCGGCTTGGGAAGGGGCAGTTAACCTAAAAGTAGCTATGCGATCACTGAATTATGCTTTTTAACACAAAAACAGGCATGCAGCGAGCTTCGAAAAAAAAAGCATTTATATATTCCTGTCAAGCTGAGTGACGAATCTTTAGCAAAACGGAGCACTCTCGAAGTACTTCACTCAAGTGCCTTCGTCTCTACTTCACATCACCATTCAAGAAATTACCTTCTACAGCAAACTTTTGCTTCTATCAAACAAAATTTCCGCCAGTTTGGATGATTACATGAATTTTTGACACCACCCGAGAATAGCGCTCCGTCCTCAACAAATAAACCAGGGCTTCCAGAAAGTTGTTTTTCGGATCTGGAACTATAACTTTTCTATAAATGCAAATTGGCCAACCTTCGCATTCACTGATTTTCGCATTGCAGAATTGTCTCTCGATTGTTTGGCGATGACATCGGAACATTTGTGCCTTTATTGGAAATACGTAGACGCGCGAACGCATCCGAATGCCTTTTCCACAAGTTGCTGAGCACAGAGACCACGGCTCCCAGTTTGTTACCATACATTCTCCTAAAAACCATATCAAAATTGCATTAATCGGAAAAAGTTGAACGAGGGAAAATTTACATGGCAGAGCATTTCATGAAAAATTTCGATTTGTCTTCTGATCAATATTTTTCAAATTAAATTTACTTTTGGATATTCTAGCAGCAAAAATGCATTGCACGGGGCTTCTGTAGTACTCGGTTAGTTAGGGTGTGGAATGATTTGCCTTCGGTACTCGTTGAGCCTCATTCTGTAGGAAAATTTGCTAGCACTATCAACAGCCCTGCTTTGTGGCCTCTCCTTCGCAGGCATTGTACGTTGAGGTGCTAAATTTCTGTTACATTGATCCTAAACGCTGAGAAAATTCCTTGTGCTTTTGTGTCTTTTGTATTTCGCTTCTTATGTGCCAAGCGTATGACATGTGTGTATGCATATATGTGTCCTGAATGACGATTGACCAAAATGTGAATGTGAATCTGAGCAAATGTGGACCGATGAGCACAGTTTCGCGCCCCGCGTATTAAAAGTTAACGAAACGCGTGGGTATTATCTCATTTTGTCCACTTACTGCGATCTTTGTATTCCTCATCTTCGCTGGTATTCGTTGCATTGAAGGCCTCTTTTTGATATTCCTCCACGCTTTTGCATTCCGACTTCACTACTTCCTTTCTGGTCAGTTTTAAGCGAGCCAGTGGCGCTATGATGTCGCTATTCTCATTGTAAAATGGAGACCGCTTGTCGAGCTTCGTTGTGATCGGGTGTATCGGGATGCGTGGCTCTGCTGGATTGTTTGGCGACTAAAAGCTGGTCATCAAACTTCTGTGAAAGAATCAGGCTTAACTAAAAAATATTTTGTATATGCTAACAAAACAAGTCACCGGATTTATTTCTTAACATATGTGTGTTTGTTTGAATGGTCGTAATGTACGCGTGTGGGTATCTGTCTATGCGAGCTGTTTGCATTGGTATCTGCCTATGCGTGTGTATGTGTGTTTGTGTAATGCACCGTTTCATGTGTGTTTGTGTAATGTACCGTTTCATCGTTCCTCAGAAGACCAGTGAATGAAGAAGACAATGTTACAGCTAATTCAGCTTCTAAATATTGGAAACCAGTGCTGGGATGAACAATAAAAATTTCAAAACGTGCAAGTAATGTACGGACCATGTAAGTGGGGCCGTTGTCAGTGCCAGCATCGAAGGGCAGCAGCTCGAAGGTTCTCTCTGGTATCCAGGAACAGTCCGGAAGACATAAATTAACGGACGAAATTCCAACGCACCAATCAGGCGACGGACCAAACATCGCTGCCAGTGAAGCCAAATGATGGTACCTCAACGACTAGAAGTAATAATTCAAAAGTAGAAGCGTAAATCACTGATGGAACCTTTTGGTTTATTTTTTACTAGCCAACTATTCGTTTATACCTTTCAGTCGCTTTCGTAAAAAGAACTGATAGGACAGTGGCATTAAAAAGTGTAACTTTCATAATCGGTGCTATGATTAGAGGTGAAAGAAACATGTTCTTCTGACTGAGTAGCTAGCTAAAAGAATGCTGGCAGCACTCACCTGTTAACGACGAAAGAGCTCGTTGTTCTTCCCTGCACCTCAGGATACCACAAACCTTTGATTTTCATTAACGTACGAATTTCTTTCGCCTAAAACAGCTGCTGATATAGTGGCATATCACACATTTCAAAAAAAAAGTCAAATGGAATAATACCGATAAAAAAATTTATTTTCTTTTTTTGCAAAACAACAACTTATTTCTTGCCGCTTGCAAGTTGTAGCACCCTTAACATTACCAGTCCGAAGTGAGGTACTGACACAAATGGTAAAGAAAACCTGGAGCAACTAATCGCAAAAGTGGGTAAGTCCTTTACAAAATGCAATAAACTTACGTTTTGCCTCATTTCCTGTTCTCCTTTGTATGTGTTGCCCCACTCGGCAATTTCTTTCATGCCATCTGTTGCAATCATACCAAACTTCCACATCGTATAGTTGCCGCTGTGACTGGCGCCAAGCATATCCGTGAAATGCGTTAGATGCTCCACTGAAATAAGTAAGACACCAGGGCGAAAGGTCGAACTTATCTTCCGAAGGCAATTTGCTGTGGAAGACACAATCAACGAACGATGCAGATTACACTTTGCAAACACTGATTACCCACAAACTGGATAATTTTAAAGTTTTATACTCGAATCCACAGATGGTAAAGTACCTCAACGTTGTCGGGGATGGCAACACTAGGAGATGAGTTGGTGATCCTCAGCTTATACACACATGCACTGTTGAATCTCCAGCTAATTAAAGTCTAGCCAAAGCGCTTCTGTGGGGAGAGCCACTGAGTTGGACTTTAGGAAGGCTCACTGCAGGTGAAGCAGGGTTGGTTAAAACATTCAAGTGATGAAGAAAGAAACGGCACAGTTGTTGACTAAACCGTTGGAAAACGTTCCGAAAACGACTCAGTGGTGAACTAGTAGTCTTTGCAAATAATGGTGTACTAGTGGTGAAATAGTAGCCTTTTGCAGTGTTGAAGAAAGAAACGGTATGATTGTTGACTAAACAGGATTAATGTAATGCAAAGTTGTGAAAATTTACAGGTTGGATAATCCTTGGGATGTGTGTCGCGCGACCACAGACCAACGAATTCCAAGTCGTATTTCGCCTCATCGCAAGCGCAACACTCGCTGTTTTCGTCGTCAATTGCTAGCGCTTTTTTGTAACCCTCTGAAATCAGCACTTTTTACAGACTGTTTCGTTGTTTCATTTCGGGCACATGGATTGTAGCCCATTTTGGCCAGAGTTCACTTTCATAAAAATCATCAACAATAGCCCGGACTATCAATTTGTAGCCTCAGCGAGCAGGAATTTTCAACACTCTCTCTGAGTTTTCCATATCACCTCATGTTATTTACTTCAGACTGAGCTGCAATTTAAACATTTAAAATTTTGGACTTTTCGAGCTACAAGCATAGAGAGATTTAAGATTAGAGCTCAAAAGAAACATAAAGTCAACTCGGGATTTTGGGCTCATGGCTTCTCATACAGCTATTTTTATGGAGTTCTTACGCACCACACTCACACACATAAGTATATGCATTCACCATGCATACTTATGCATGCAAAATTTTGGGTTTATCGTTTGGATTTATATGAAAGCACGAAAAATTATAAGAAAAATAGTTTAGCTGACCAACAACACAAAATTTTTTCGTTAACGGTCCATCATCGCCGTACCATACTTTTCTGGATGTGATCACCGAAGCTCGAAAATAAGCACATCCCTTCTCGGAAGTATCCGGTGCATGCCAAAGCACATGTACGGAGGTCTTTGGCCTTAAATTCGAATGCGAAACACCAGCTTTGCGACAGTTTGGAGCAATTCGAGCTTCGCCCTTCCGGCCTTGCAGCTGCAACAAACAGCGATCGAAGCTCATCGAACTTTCAAACGATCAAGGATTTCAGCAAAGTGAACAAATTCGTGTGAGGATGGGCAGAGAACTCACATCAAATTTTCCAGCGTGTTCACCGCTTTCGAACTGTGCGTAAATGCCGAATCCGCGGAATGCCTGTACAGTGAATTTTGTGCGCCACCCTCGAAGCTTCACTTCAAGTACCATTAGTAATTCATAGAAGCATAAAAGGAAAAAAAAAAATTTTCTGAAAAAGTATCAGCATGGAGATTAAATGCATTTCGCTGTGTCTTATTTCGAATACCAACTTAAACATAAGTTGAGGTTTTAGAATGCTGAGCTTCTTTTTTTAGAAAGAATGGAGAATTATTTTCCAGTGACTTGTCTTGGAAAACCATTTAAAAGGGAACGTTAGCTGAGGTAAAGATACCGAACCAACCTTTATTTTTACCCAAAAGAAAGAATGGAAAATTGATATCCAGTGCGCTTTTGTTGAAAAAACACTCTGAAGAATTCCTCCCTCATGGAGAATTTGCTAAGTTATTCGAGAACAACAAAAGCTGCTGTTTCTCCGTAGTACACCTTTTGCACTGCTAGCGAATCATGTGTTTTAAGGAATTACAGGTCAATTGTCTATATTAACAGGCGTTTGGAGAAGCAGTCCGTGTTTCATAAGAGTTAGAATTCAGAAAATTGCATTTTCTTACCAATATAGCTTTCGCCCGGGGTATATCCTTCAGGATTGATTAGTGATGTATTTGTGGCACTGGAAATCTCGATAACGAAGCCACTATTTCCCGGTGTTTTCTCTTCCTTCGCCTCATAGAGTTTTCTTTTGCAGTCTTCGCTCGCACTCTTACACAGTGATAGCAATAGACAAATTAGTACCCACCACATCCGGCAATGTCGTCTGCCTTCCTGAAAACTAACTGCTTGTTGTGACAAGTCCCCAGCAAATTTCTTTCTTGCATCCCGGCTAAAATATATCAGGCCCATGATGTTCTAGGACGGATCTAACACATCCGTAGGATCAACAGTACATCTGTGAAAATATCAGCCAAGTTTTCCGTAGGTTGTGTGGAACAGTTAAATGTATATAAAAGTGGGAATTATCGAAACGAAGGTGAAATGAAGTAGCTGTGTGATACAGAGGAAGGCATCCTGCGGACCGCTGAACGGAGTAATAAATGGCCGTCGTTGAAGCAGACTTGTGGTGGTGAGGATAAACTGGTAGTAGGAATGGAATGGAGTGAACTTCTGACATGCTCCCGATAAGCACCAACTTTTCAAAGCAGCTCACCACAAGACGCCCCCTCCTGACACCACCAGCCCGCATCCGTCCGGACCTTGCTTACAGCATTTTTCTGCTAGAAACTTCCAGAGTGACCATATCCACGAATGAAAGCACCAACAAGTGACGTAACTATGCGACCATAACATTTCTGAACACAGGTGTAATACCAGCTTCGCACAAAGAGCAGACATCACACTCACGGAATCAAATTGGCAATTTCTTTGTATAACCCCTAGGATAAGCAAGCTTTTCAAGATCAGGCTAAACCAAAATTAAAAAGAACGATTAGAAATTGAAAAGGCAAAATTTTTTATCTTTTTGTAATTTTTATCTGGTAATTAAGATCTTTCCTCACTAGGTCAGACCAAGATCTTTTCTTGCGGCAGCAAATGTTTCATCATCACACTAATCCACGAGCACTGAGAGAGCTTCACGCTCGTGCTGACTCCATCAGGCTTCTTGTACAAGTTCTGGGAAAACTTAACTCGCTGATAATGCCTTCACCAGTTATCACATTTTAAAGCACTGAGCATTTTCCTCTCCAGCCTATTTTGTCGGTAATTTAGAGACAGAATTAAGCGAGGAATTAAGAATAAATAACTCTTGCATGAAACTCCCTGCAGCTGTTTAAATACACTAAAATTGCGGAATATTTGTTCATTTGTTGATGAAACACGCCCTGAGTGTTGCTTGCAAGAAAACAAATGACGACTAGAGTGGCAGACACTAACTAAAGGTATGTAACTGAAAGCCTGGCATAGCTGGCCTGTAGGATCATCAGCTAATGCTAACGTAGAAATCGGCATCGACTGTCTGGAACGATCTGATATTCCTGCTGGTTAAGAAATAAATTAGAAAAAAAAAGTTTTTATTGCAGGCAAGTAAAAAAAAAAA